TCAACCGTGCTAACACCTCCCGCCGCTACATAGGTGAATTTCCCAGGATAGTCACCCGGCATACGACCATTTAAAAGAGTAAAATTGTTGATTTCAATGAACTCTACAAGGGCTAACCGTCTAGGGTCATCCTTTTTGTGGAGCGAGTTTCTATCTGCATATACTCGGGAGGATTCAAATAGCTCGGTTGGCCAGGCGTTCCAATTTGCGACCCACGCGTTGAAATCGCCCCCTATTATACAAGCCGAATCACTGTACCTAACCTCAATGTCTTCTAAAATGACTTGCAAATTAACTAATTCACTGCCAAGGTCAGTGCCTCTATTAAAATACACAATACCTATCACATACACCTCGTTGTTAAACTCGGCTTCCACAAAAATCCAATAGTCAGACATGTGGATGAGTAACATTGAACAGCAGTCACGTTTCCCCAGCACAACAAGCCCACCGCTTCCTCTGCCACGTGCTCTGCTGGATTCTTTGGAAGCTGCTGACCAAAACTGATGATAATCCTTCCATGCCGATGCCAAGTACCCTGGGGTGCTGGTTGCCCAAGTTTCACTGATGCAAATGATAGGAGATTGCGAACTTGATACAAAGTCCGCTAGACGCCCAGTTCCATGGGAGTTCCAGAAAGTGACTTCTGGTGCGCCTTTCATTGAACTGCTGTTCTGCTGGATGCGTTTCCCTGGAGTGTTGACTGTGGGCCGCTACGCCTATCCGCCGGATGAGGAGGAGGTGCCACGGGCATAAGGGAGTCTTTGACGGAGTCCCAACCGTACCACCTGCCATCAATTTTAACTTTCAGGAAACCGGCTTTGACCTTCCTCCCTTTCTTCCTCTCCTCCTTTGCAATGTTCCTCAACTTACTGGCAATTTTTCCCTCTCTCGTAGTCAAGTCAGAGTTTATGTAAATTGAGGTCCCCTCCAGCGCCGTTTTTTTCTGCCTCAAGATTCTTAATTTGGTCTCCTAGTCCTTTAGGGAGACAGTTATCACCTTGTCTGATTGGTTGGTTGACTGCAATGGAGTGATCTTAGAAATGCCTTCCACCACATTGAACTTGTCTTTCAGAAGATTCTGGGTCACCTGGACAGTCGCTCCCGGATCACACACCAAGCCTCTTACTATAACATTTAATCTCTTTTCTCTGTGCTCATTAGCATCCAGATCAGCCAGAGCAGAGTTCAACCTTTGTGCCTCGTTAATTGCTGTAAGCAGATGCGAGCTCATTTCAGCCCTCAACTCATCGATCCCGGGTGTCGCCTCAGAATGTCTCGCCTCGATGACCAGCAGTCTCGATTCCAAGGCTGACCATTTGAGATCGTCTTGTTTGCGATACAAGTCAAGACGATTGTTCAGCTCTTGAGAGAGAACTTCAATTTCTTTCCTTGATTCCTCCGTGACCTTTTTGATTATCTCCTCCTTCAGTACATTTGTACGCTCGTCTGATTTTCTATCCATTCTCTCCTCCATACTCGGGAGTGCCTTCAAAATTGGGTCACCCACGCTCATCTTTCCAGGTGAAGTTACCGATTTACAGGTGGGAGATGTGTTCAGCGAGCCCGACTCAATTTTACCCGGTGATTTTTCCGAATAGGCAAATTTTGCTAGGGTGGCTTTGACGGAGGCTAGGGATGGTTTTTTAACAGACTCGAGAGAACGTGGAGTTGACTCAGTGCACCGCTTAATACCTCGGATGTGTGAGCCGGGAAACTCCGACCCCAGCGACCCAGTCCGGCTCCTATTAGCCAAACAAATCTCTGATTTTCCCCGGCTGGTGAAATAACGGCTGCTTAGCGGCGTTGAGGGCGGGGGCGGATCATGAATGGTTTGCTCCAGATCTATTACAGTAGAGTCCACTGACAATTCTGACAGTTCAGGCAAGAAGCTGGTGGAATCACGGCTGTGCCGTTATGCTGATTGGTGAGGAAAATTCACGAGAGGCTAGAACGCCAAAGGCACTGCGGCGGGCGAACAGCTGTCAGATATGAAAGAGGTGAGACAGCAACGGTGATGACGTATGCGCTGAGGAGGGGAGCTGTACAGTAACGGCCAGACACGAGGAGTGGGGACTATCTGCTAGGTTGGGCTCATGCATACCTCACGGATATACACAAGCGAGGCACGCCCGAGAGAGATGACCAGGAGAGCGAGCGAGAGGGCAACTGACTGGCTTCACACACATATAGATCCCCCGGCACAGTTTTTTTAAATCTATCAAATGCCTGAAACCACTCAGGAACAAAAATCAGTCTGATTTATTATTTTTATTTTTATTTTTATTTAATCACTCGCACACTGGGGACCGCCCAAGGTGACAAAAAGGCATATATATGACAAATTTCAGTGGATTGCCCGCCTATTCAGACAGACATAACCTCCAACTTCTCAACTACGAATTGAACCACAGGACACTTCCTCTGAAGTAGGAGCACTTTTACAGGATATATCACTCGGAAGCCCGGAAATTCGGGAACACTAATTGCACATATACATTTGTCTACGCTCAGAAAGCCATTGCACATTTGAATTATAAACTATAGCCCACATACACAGCGTCTACTGCACAACACGCGTACCACGTGACCCCCGACGTCGGAGATGATTAAAAAGAATTAGTTTTGGGAAAGAATTGAAGTTTTCCCTCTTCCGATTCTCATGAGCGAGAGAAGCCTCCTAAAGCCATTTCAACCTGAATACTGTCTTAGAAGAAAGTCTTATTTTCAATTGAAAATTTAAATTGCTTTTTCCAAACGAAAATAATATTTCGTGTCACGGGACCCGAAAAACCCCATTTTCGTGGCGCTGCGTGCCATGAAATTGCCGTTTTTCAGTTCCCTCACACAAAAATTAATGTACACACCTCGTCATGAAAAACATATCGACCTCCCCCACGTGCCTGTTATCCTCGCCTTTGGCTCGGAAGGCAAACTTGCACGTGGGGGGAGGTAATCTGTTTTCCAAGGCTGGAGCATGTAATGTACTATTTCAGGTTGACGACCTGTGTCGTCGTAACTTAATAGTTTTGGTGTCTATCTGCATCCAAAGCAATTTCGGTTTGTTGTTTCCGTCGAGACAAAGAACAACTGGCGCCCAAATTATCGAGATTTTTTTGTTTACCAAAGGAAAAGGGCGAGGTAACGTCCAGTTTTCTCCCCAGTAAAAATTGGCCACGTTACAGTAGATATTTGATTTTTTCCTTTGTAGTCCGCCAGTTTGACGGAGTTACTAGATACCGGGCATGGTTTCAGTTAAACAGTACAATATCACACTTCAGTTATTCTGTGAGAGATTATCTAAACATTGTTTAATTCGAGGTGGCCGAGGTGGTCATGTCCAGTGATCATCTCGATCTCCTCGCCGCACGCCATGCGATTTTTATTTGTGGGGTTGCGTGAAAGATGTTGATCAATCGACCGACAACCGCCGCGGATTTGTAGACAAAGACATGCAATCATAAACACGACATCACAAACCTTTCACCTGAAATTTTTCAGTCAGCTTCATCCCAGTTCTTCACAGGAATTTTTTTCATAAAAATCCTATTAATAATTTGTCATTTATTGTGGAAATAAACATGATAAATACTGTGAAAACAATGAGATTCAACAGAAATGTAATTAGGAACTACCGTTATTTCCATATTAATTGCGATAAAAGAAAATATCAGAAATAGAGGAAAACATATTTTCGACCGTCCAAACCCCCAGCCACATTTTTTCCATCTAAAAATACGGCAAAATAACAGAATAATCAAAGTTGATGACGTTGTTCATTTCCATAGTTAACAATAAGAGGAATAATTAATGGGATGTTGGAAGAGTTCAGCAATACTAATTTATTGTCAAATCGCGACGTTTCGCTGCAAATCGCAGTTTCTTCAGGTTCTGAAAACCAAACATAAATTCTATGACCGAATGTCACTCTAAATTTTACAATAAAACTCACACAAATACATTGATTGTAATCAAAACAAACACTCTATTCGGTAATACTGAAAATTGCACAAATTGCGTAAACACTTGGTTGAAATATACAGAATTACCTTGACAGGTTTAGTACGTAGTCACTATAAACTCTAATAAAATGTGCGTGGATCAACGACAACATATTAATTGATTAAAAATTGCAAAATACTGTAACAATAACATCGGCGTCTGCAGCAACACCTGTCATTAATCACAGCCATGAACGATGCATTGAAGTGATAGAGGCGCCCCTCACGTATCTCTCCACAACCACGAAGTATGAAGCGAGACATAGAAGGTACACCTCCCGCCCCCCAACACAACCGCGGAGTATGCAGACACAGACGGCACACCTCGTCTTCCCCCCGTTGCCGTGTGGAAGCGCCTCTCACGGCCACCTTTGGTGACTAACCGACCCCGTCACCTCGAGCCCCTCGATTTCTATTTTTCCACCTCTTCAGCAACCCCAAGTACATACGATTCAGGTTCTGAGTATCTTCTCTCTTGTTCACAGTGTCATGTAGGCAAATGTGGATCATCTCAGCAATATTCCTCTTCACCCAATAACTCTCGGTGTCCAAAATTGAAACATCCTCAAACTTGAATCTATGACCCTTGTCGAAGCAGTGGGTGGCCAACGCCGTTTTCTCTTTCTTCAGGAAAACTCGGGGTGCGCAGTCATACCGATGTTGACGAATCCTAGCGCCCAGCCTCTGCCGAGTCTGTCCGATGTAACAGTTGTCACACCCGCATGGGATTTTGTACACAACTTCTGACCTCGATAGCAATGGAATCGGGTCTTTCAATTTCGAGTACAGAACCCCCACTGATCTCAGGTTGTAGAAGACCAATTTCGAAACTGTGCTACTGAGGCACCTGTTCAGCCTTTGAGACAATCCTTGTACCAAAGGAAACCTAAAACAGGACCTTGCATCTGGGTCTGCCACTCTCTCAACCCCAGAAGCTTTTCGATTTTTGAACTCTCGCATGCACTTCATGACGAACTTCCCAGGATAACCGTTCTTCGTTCAAGTGTCTTTCACTCGGTCAATATTAGCCTCATGAAAGTCCTCGTGATTGAGTCCAATCGCTCGGTGTAACATGCCGAATACCACACCAACTTTGTGCGCCGTCAGATGGTTCGACTCGTAGTTGATAACTCTCCCAGAACTTGTGGGTTTTTGGTACCAATTGAGCTTCAGGCTCCCGTCATTCATCCGATGTATCTTTACATCCAAAAAACTGATGGATCTCTCCACCTCTCTTTCCACAGTAAACTGGATCCGATCATGGATGGGATTGAAACACTGTAGTACCATATCAATAGAGTCCTCCGGAACTGGCAACACAGTATCGTCTACGTAGAGTTTCAGCCATGGAATGTTGCACGGAAGCTTATCCAGGACCTCTGAGATGACGTAATCCATGACGATACCTCCCAGAACCGGGCTAGCCGGGTTGCCCATGCTGCTGCCATCCATTTGAGCGTAAAGTTCATTATCGAAAGTGAAGTAACTACCTTCGAAGCAAAACTTTACCAGCGCCACCACAAGCTCTTTCGAAGCACGCACACGTGTGGACCATTCCTCCCATTTGTCCTCCACAATCTTCACCACTAGATCTTTAGGGATGTTTGTGAAGAGAGACACTACATCTAGGGATGCCAAAATATAACCTTGCGGTAGTTGGACCCCACCGGCAAACGTAGTGAACTCAGCTGAGTTGACGCTGAACCTTGAATTACTACTCACAGGGACTAATAGCTCATGTAAAAACCTAGCTACCTTGTACGTAGGGGCTTTTATACAGCTAACAACAGGTCGTAGGTTGCACCCTGGTTTATGTATTTTTCTCAGGGCATACATCCTTGGGGTCGTTGAATTGTGACTCTTCAAGGCCTTCGCTGTCTCCTCACTAATCACCCCCTCGCGCTGAAGTCTATCTACTAACTCGTTCGCTGTCCTTTCGAGCTTGAAGGTTGGATCTTTCTCAATGCGTTGGTAAGTACTCTCGTCTGCCAGCATCCTTTTCATGACCTGCAGATATTCTTCCCTGTGCATTAACACAGTGGCATTCCCTTCATCCGACCGCGCTATGATCAAATCTCTATTCTCCTTTAGAAATTTCTTAGTGGCTATCGCATCTTGGTCGCGCTGACTGCGGTTGTTGGACCTCGGTTTCAAGTAAAAGTTCCTGATGATGTTAATGGCTTCTGCCCTAATGTTATTTCTCTGCTCTGACTGTTGTTCCTCAGGGATTTCCCTCACCTTTAAACTCTGAATGCAGAGTTCAAGGTCTTTGATGACAGTCGGGATAGGCACCTCACTATTGCGTACGTCTAACCCGAATTTAGGCTCTAGGCACAAGATGCGTTTTACTCCCTCCGGAGGTTCTATATTTGTGGAGTTAAGGAGGGAGTAAAACGCATCTTGTGCCTAGAGCCTAAATTTGGGTTAGAGGTACGCAATAGTGAGTTGCCTATCCCGACTGTCATCAAAGACCTTAAACTCTGCCTTCAGAGTTTAAAGTTGAGGGAAATCCCTGAAGAACAACAGTCAGAGCAGAGAAATAACATTAGAGCAGTAGCCATTAACATCATCAGGAACTTTTGCTTGAAACCGAGGTCCAACAACCGCAGTCAGCGCGACCAAGATGCGATAGCCACTAAGAAATTTCTAAAGGAGAATAGAGATCTGATCGTAGCGCGGTCGGATAAAGGGAATGCCACTGTGTTAATGCACAGGGAAGAATATCTGCAGGTCATGAAGAGGATGCTGGCAGACGAGAGTACTTACTAACGCATTGAGAAAGATCCAACTTTCAAGCTCGAAAGGAGAGCGAACGAGTTAGTAGATAGACCTCAGCGCGAGGGGGTGATTAGTGACGAGACAGCGAAGGCCTTGAAGACTCACATTTCGACGACCCCAAGGATGTATGGCCTGAGAAAGGTACATAAACCAGGGTGCAACCTACGACCTGTTGTTAGCTGTATAAAAGCCCCTATGTACAAGGTAGCTAGGTTTTTACATGAGCTGTTAGTCCCTGTGAGTAGTAATTCAAGGTTCAGCGTCAACAACTCAGCTGGTTGTAACTCAAGGTTATATTTTGGCATCTCTAGATGTAGTGTCTCTCTTCACAAACATCCCTAAAGATCTAGTGGTGAAGATTGTGGAGGACAAATGGGAGGAATGGTCCACACGTGTTCGTGCTTCGAAAGAGCATGTGGTGGCGCTAGTAAAGTTTTGCTTTGAAGGTAGTTACTTTACTTTCGATAATGAACTTTACGCTCAAATGGATGGCAGCAGCATGGGCAACCCGGCTAGCCCGGTTCTGGGAGGTATCGTCATGGACTACGTCATCTCAGAGATCCTGGAGAAGCGTCCGTGCAACATTCCATGGCTGAAACTCTACGTAGACGATACTGTGTTGCCAGTTCCGGAGGACTCTATTGATATGGTACTACAGTGCTTCAATTCCATCCATGATTGGATCCAGTTTACTGTGGAAAGAGAGGTGGAGAGATCCATCAGTTTTTTGGATGTAAAGATACATCGGATGAATGACGGGAGCCTAAAGCTCAATTGTTACCAAAAATCCACAAGTTCTGGGAGAGTTATCAACTACGAGTCGACCCATCTTATGGCGCACAAAGTTGGTGTGGTATTCGGCATGTTACACCGAGCAATTGGACTCAGTCACGAGGACTTTTATGAGGCTAATATTGACCGAGTGAAAGACACTTTAACGAAGAATGGTTATCCTGGGAAGTTCGTCATGAAGTGCGTGCGAGAGTTCAAAAATCGAAGAGCTTCTGGGGTTGAGAGAGTGGCAGACCCAGATGCAAGGTCCTGTTTTAGGTTTCCTTTGGTACGTGCATTGTCTCAAAGGCTGAACAAGTGCCTCAGAAGCACAGATTCGAAATTGGTCTTCTACAATCTGAGATCAGTGGGGGATCTATACTCGAAATTGAAAGACCCGATTCCATTGCTATCGAGGTCAGAAGTTGTGTACAAAATCCCATACGAGTGTAACAACTGTTACATCGGACAGACTCGGCAGAGGCTGAGCGCCAGGATTCGTCAACATCGGTATGACTGCACTCCCCGAGTTTTCCTGAAGAAAGAGAAAACGGCGTTGGCCACCCACTGCTTCGACAAGGGTCATAGATTCAAGTTTGAGGATGTTTCAATTTTGGACACCGAGAGTCATTAGGTGAAGAGTAATATTGCTGAGATGATCCACATTTGCCTACATAACACTGTGAACAAGAGAGAAGATACTCAGAACCTGAATCGTATGTACTTGGGGTTGCTGAAGAGGTGGAAAAATAGAAATCGAGGGGCTCGAGGTGACGGGGTCGCTTAGTCACCATAGGTGGCCGTGAGAGGCGCTTCCACACGGCAACGGGGGGAAGACGAGGTGTGCCGTCTGTGTCTGCATACTCCGTGGTTGTGTTGGGGGGCGGGAGATGTACCTTCTTTGTCTCGCTTCATACTTCGTGGTTGTGGAGAGATACGTGAGGGGCGCCTCTATCACTCCAATGCATCGTTCATGGCTGTGATTAATGACAGGTGTTGCTGCAGACCCCGATGTTATTGTTACAGTATTTTCCAATTTTTAATCAATTAATATATTGTCGTTGATCCACGCACATTTTATTAGAGTTTATAGTGACTACGTACTAAACCTGTCAAGGTAATTCTGTATATTTCAACCAAGTGTTTACGCAATTTATGCAATTTTCAGTATTACAGACTAGAGTGTTTGTTTTGATTACAATCAATGTATTTGTGTGAGTTTTATTGTAAAATTTAGAGTGACATTCGGTCATAGAATTTATGTTTGGTTTTCAGAGCCTGAAGAAGCTGCGATTTGCAGCGAAACGTCGCGATTTGACAATAAATTAGTATTGCTGAACTCTTCCAACATCCCATTAATTATTCCTCTTAGAATAATCAAATTAAGAACTCAATAATTGGACGCATTTTCAAATAATAATAATAATTCTTTTATGTTAAGCATTATGCGTAATCGTCACACTAGAATTTTTCGATGTCGAATCTGGTTTGAGTCAAATTGGTCAATATTTCCACTTGTTGGATTAATCGAGATGATCAAAGAGATTCGCGCAGGCCACAATAAATTAACAAGCCGCGGTTCACAGAAATTAATGACGCAAAGAAATTGATATGCAGAACTCAACGAAAACAATATAGTCGCAGGACACAATGTCTACGTTACGCTGGTCGAAATGCAAATGAGCGAGATTTGCAGGCCACGAGGTGTCAGACGGAGATACCAAAAGTTTCACACACGTGACCCCATCAAAAATTGGGGCGTTCACATGACACCTGTCCATCAAGTGGCGCCTTAGATGTCAAAGGTGAGAGGCCATTGATCATTTGAGGCTGTTTCGCAGGTCAGTTGTGCGTAGGCCATGCAAGCATCCAAGCGGAGCGATTGTGCATGAGTGAGTCTGTGTGTGTGAGAAAAATAATTTGGTGGAAAACCGAACACGAATTTAAAATCGTCCGTATTGATCCACACACATAATGAGTCCATCTTAGGCCCATCTGACGCTGAATCCACTCTTCGGTACTATCATAAAGAGACAGGTTCACATTAACTCCGAAGAATTTTCTAAATGAAAAAATGAGGCAGTCCATTTTGCCCTTCGGTTCATTTCGCCCGCCTGGTCCATTTTGCCCTACCCGTCTCTATCACATTAATTCCGCTATTTAGATGGAACTTGACAGTCATGTAGAATCTATGTCACAAAAAATGTCACAAAATTGAGAAGCCGTCACTGATAGAGAGATTCATTTATTCCGAATGAGATTCGTTAACTATTAACGAATGGTTAACCTGAAAGGTGAATATCGACTCAAACAAGGGTCCTCAAATATGTATTTGTTAACTGTTGTGACGAGGCACAATTATTTATTCTTATTATTTTCATTTCATATTTTTCCCCAAACACACTCAGCCCCTTAAAATGTAAATCCCGCCACCGTTGGATTCCTCTTCCCCAGATTTTTCCCCTCGTCATCCCTTTACCCTCACCCATGGAATTAACCACGAACAGCCACCGAAAGAAGTCTTCAGCCGGTGCCCCTTGAAGACGCCCCAGATACCAGCCCTCGAAATCTGCCGCCCTTGAGATGCCTCATCAACACATCCCTGGACATTGACGGAGGACACAGTGAGATCGTCCTGATTGGTCACGCTCTCTCACGAAGATGCCCTGACAGAAGGAGCGAAGGAATACGACGACTGGCGAATCCTCGCGAAAGAAGGAGGAGAGAAAGGAAGAGAGGAGAAAGATACACTCGCGCAACAGTTGCCCCATTAGTTGCCACGTGCGCTACAAAACCGAGAAAACTAACGGAGAAAAATACCGCGGAATCTCATCCTTCGAGATATTGGCGGAATAAGGGATTTTTGTTTGGTCCAGACGAATTCATTCCAGCTCTGGATATTGGGTCCTGGAGTCCGAGAGGTGGAACGAAGGCCCTGCAAATTGGCGGATTCATTTGGACGTGCGGATCGTATTGGGAAGTCGACGTGAGTACAAGTTATTCCCCTCATTTCCCCCTTGTCACTGAGTATTGTCCTAGTTTATCCCCCCAAGGGTGTGCCACACTTATTTTTCCATTTCTCCCCTTTGATTTCTTTTCATTTAATATTATTTCTAGAGTTCATAATTCCCCTAGACACGACTAGATTCTCCGCATTTTTATAACCATTAGAATCGCCCCAGTTGACGTGTATAAAAGTTGCCTGGCCTCCCCCACTCCCCTAGATCTCATGAAAAGGCCTAATTAACGATTCCTGACAATCTAATTTGTAGTTAAATAGTTAAATACAGTTGATTTCATCAGAATATCCCTTATTTGTCCTCTTTCTTTAATTGCCCAGATCCTCATTTCAAGAATTAAAATTAATATAAATTAAGGAAAAGGTCACACTGTTTAAGAATGAACATTTGGTGAGACTGAATAGACTTTAGCCTACAACTAAATCCATTCATCAACAATAAATAACTCTTTCTATCAGTGTTCATGAAATATTGAGTAGTGTGATGTTTTTACTGCGATTGAGATGGAATATAACGGTGATATAAGATTTATGTCACAGAAAAGATCATAATCGAGGAGTGAGATCAGAAAATTTTATCCAATCAAAGGACTATATATGTTTTATTGACGGTCAGTCGATGATGTTCGTTCGCTCGAAGGCTCATCGCTCGAGTGACAGTGTTGCTACATTCACTACCCTACTTGAAATGCGCGAGTAGCGGCCAACGACAACGCGGCAAGAACGCTCTCGGTTTAATCCAGAGACACTATACTAACCGTGCGACGGATGAAGGTTGGCAAATGAGTGCGAGTGATCGAGGGTTAAGCCGTACTGTTTCAACGTACGATGACTGAAGACAACATATCGAGACGAAAATTACTTCTATCATTAATCATCTTGTAATTGTCAAACCATTCAGATATCGTTCACAGAGAGTAGGTATTTCGTGGATCGCGAAGGTGATTTGTGAGGAAAGATTGAAAAGTCATAAGCGTCAGATTGTTCAAAACAAGAAAGAAACCATTTAGTACGACAGAGGCGAACAGAGTTTAATGATCTCAATGGTGAGACGACTGAGCTAATCACCTAAGAAAAATAGACATAATTGTCATGAGAATTGGCCTATCTCTTCTTTCCAATGTGATTCTTTCCATGCCAATCAAAAATTTAATTAATATCATACGCACTGTATGAAATTTACATGGGACATTACAGGTTAGAAACCGAGTAATTTACTTGAGATAATTGACTAGTTTAACTCTTGTGATAGAAAATCTACACATCGAAATGAAAAACGGGTCTAACTTACAAAGCGAAGAAGTCGTAGTGTCGAATAACGCATGATTTTATTTTTACAGGTTATTCTAGTGAAGTGGAACGAGCCCTATCAAAAATTGGCCTCTTGTGATAGTTCCGGTGTCATATTTGTTTGGATCAAATACGAAGGGAGGTGGAGCATCGAATTAATCAACGATCGCAGTACTCCAGTGACACATTTCTCCTGGTCACATGATGGACGAATGGCACTCATAT